AAATTGGGCCCTGGTTCTCAAGGCAACCTTGTTCCCCCATTCAGTAAATCTAAATCAGGTAAACGGAAATTTGTGGTTCATGGAGCTTATTCATTCAACGCCCAACCATGCCCTTTGGCTGCTACTCTTGCCAGCTTTAAAAGCACGATACAAAAACCTGCCTTTTTAATGTACTAGTGCAGTACCCATCGATAATGCGCCTGTCATAATGGGGCAAACTACTTGGCCTCTCTTTTTGGTTGCTTGCAGCTTTTTGAGAACTGCTCATCATGCAGACAATTTATGCGCAAGATTTAATATTATTCACGCAGAGTTTTATGCAGTGCATAGGTGCTTTTGTTTTGTTTTTTTCAGTGCAATTTTTTTGGGTGTGTGTATCTGTTTTTTGTTTGTTTTTACTGAATGGTCCATGATTATTTTTTATATATTTTAAGTGTTTTTATGTACCCATATTTTACTATTTACTATTTTTTAGTGTTTTCTGTAATTGTAGTTTTAAATGAATTGTTCTGTATAATTGCTGGGCACCTCTGGAAAACAGTGTACCACTGAGAGGTTTCCCCAGGGTAAATAAGAAATAAAATAAATAAATAAATAAATAAATTCTGTCATCTACAAGGGTACAACACAGCAGAAGACAACAGCTACCGTAGTCCAGACTACATGCACTGTTACATCTTGCTTCCAAAGCAGATCTATGCGTACTCATTATCTGATGTACAATGCACAGGTACATGTATATGTACATGTATGTAGTCAACGTTTTAGGGGGAAACATCATGGCTGGTAAACCAAAAAAAGGGTAAAAGGGACCAGACTTCACAGGAGTCCAAATTTCATGTGATACTGGAAAAGTGTTTAACACTAGCCGCCCTATCTGTTTATGACCGGGCATGTGACAGGCTCTCGACCAATAGGAATGGGTAAACTGTCTTAGGTATTTGTGAACATTATTTAATTTCTGGTATTAAATTAAACCAAGGATTCCTCAAATCGCCCTAGGCACTGCAGCTCGCAAGCCTGTAGAGGAGACATTGAGAAGAAATTACAGTTTTAGAGGTTACGGAAAAACCCCCGAGGAATATTCTGGGGAAAACCCACGGAATCAAGTAGGGACTGAAAACCCAATCCACAGCCCAGGCAGGATTCGAACCCAGGTCACAGCCGTGGAAGGCGAGGGTGTACCGCTACACCAACACGACTGCCCTGTATGTGTACACAGGCATGCAACTGGGAAATCACACAAAAAAAGAGGAAATTCAAATTTTTCCCAGACTTTGTACGGTGTTTTTCTATTTTTTAATGGCACACATGGGAAGTCAAAAAAGAGGAAATCAGCTGATCCGAGGAAAAGTTGCATGCCTGTGTACACTCTACGATATTGGTCAATCCATTTTCGTTAACAGCAGCTGTCATAACTTACATAATACGTACGTTTGTACATGTACCGTAATAGATACATGTACATGTAGGGGGGTATACATGTAAAAGATGTACATGTACTGTACATGTACAGGGGGTATACACGTGTAGTAGCGCCAGTGGATGTACAATGTACTTTGTAAACAATGATATTACCATATCCAAAATATATTATCTATCATATTGATCTTCACAAGTCTTGATGGAATGAGAACTACATGTTCATTTTATGTACAACAGAATACCTTGCCATACAAGTACATATAACACTGACAAACAAGATTGACAGTTATTTTTAGTACCTAAAATATGTATCATTTTACAAAAACAGGACATGTGTACAATGTACATGCATGAACATGTACGGTAAGTTCTTGATTGGCAACTATTAGGAGAGTTAACGCATGTGTGGGTCATTATATAAAAATATATGAAAGTAGTCGAAGTGTGACATTTACCCTCTCCTGTAATGTACCATTCAAGTACCAGTATGTACACGTATCATTGGGTGCGTTCGAGTACATAAGCAGAGGGGTTATAGCCACAACAGCCGGGCTAATCGAATGCTCAACCGTGGGACATCACGATCCTCATGTTCATAGCCATGGCCGTAGCCACTAACAAAACACTCATTTTGTGCTGGGTCTTCGTTTGAGATTTACTGCTTTTCAGTCAATTTTTTTGCATAACGCAAAAAAAGTTACGCTGGAATTGTAACCTCTAAAGTCGCAATGAACATAATAATAAATTACCTTTAGACTTTGAATAAAGTTGATTTTTGGGTCCACTTGACATTTCTGCTGGCCGGCCGCCATATTTGCCCATTTCTAGGGGATGAACAATGCATGCGTGTGACGTATTTCCACCAGTGGCTCTGCTCACAAGCAGGGTCTGTGGTGGCTGACCCGGGTGAGCCCAGAGAATGACGTCAGAGCTAATCGAATGGCACAGGGCTGACCCATGTCGACCCGAGTGAGCTAAATGAATGCACCCATTATGAATGACTTTGAACATTTTTTAAAAATCTGTTGAATAGGTACCGGTAGTTTTCTATTCACAATCACTCTTGTACTTGCTTTTGTCTGTGGATGGAATATGAGTGACTAGTCACGGTGCCTTATAAATAATATGATGTGACCAGTGACTGCTGGTGACTAGTGTAAAAGGAATAGCAGGGGAAAATCTTTTTGACTGTCTGTGACTGATCAAACAAAAGGTTATATTAAGGAGTGCATCAGACTTATAAAATAATAGATGTTAGATGTAACAGTCGGACAGCGTCAGGAAAAAAGTTGACCCCAAATTTATTAGGGCTGTCCCGAATATACTGGACTTGACTCAAGTCGGAATTGCCTTGAGTTGGTACCGGTATCTCAAAACAAATCAAAGTTTAAAATAAATAAAAAATCACAAAAACGACATACATGTACGTGCACGTGTGTGGTACTTTACATAAAATGTACATCTTCCAGAAGTGCGACAAGTTACACTAAAGTGCCGTTCAACAATGCGCGGAGCCGCGGACACTGTTATCAAATTCAATTTGAAAAATTCCATTCAAGGTGGGAGTAAGCAGAGATTTCAAAATCCAGTTATACATGTTATATAAATCTTTAAAAAAAAAACAACATTCAAAACCAAATAACGGAAAGCTGATTTCGCCGTAAGTTCCCATCCAGCTCACAGTCATACCAACAAAAACTGACGGGGGGATGGGGGATGGATTTTGATGGAGTTGGGGAGGTAAGGGTTAATTCTGCCACTATTTTGTTTAGGATTTTGATGGAGTTGGGAAGGTTAGGGTTAATTCCGCCACTATTTTGTTTACAATTGCACAATTGTACCGTACCGGTACATACTAGTAGTACCCGGTAGTAGCCTGCTTATTTCCTTATATCCTGGTATCCAAAGAATCCTGATTGGAAAAAAAACCACACATGTAAACTAATTACAAAATACTGGAAATTCCCTGTAAAACAAAAAACAATTGGAACTTTAAAAGTAGAGCATACATGTACATTGTACGTGTACCGGTAGATCTACTACCGGTAGTACAGAGATGTTACAAATATGGACAAAATATGTTTAGTTATACCGGTACTTTACCAACTGTGATGTGCCCATTAAAAAAATCACTTAACTTGATAAATTACCAAGGCCCGTTAATTAAAATTTTAAGTCAGGCATTTATCTCTTCGTAAATTTTGCATTGACAGTCTTTCAGAATCAAGTGGGTGTTTCCATGTGTACATACAAAATGTACCTTTAATAAAACTCCCGATCAAGTCCTGAATATTTTTTTTTACCAATATCAGTGGAGTACAGTGGAGAATAGATTAGTATGACAGTATAATTTTGAATCAGATGTCAGTTTTGAAGTGCATACATATAATACCGGTAGTACATCGTACTTGCGAGAGTAAAAAATAAAATAAAAATTTAAACAAGAAAAAAAGAAGGGAAGAAAAGTATCCCACCAAACCTCAACAATTAATTCCAGTAAAATAATTTCTTCATACTCAAAACATAGTTCACACTTTTTAAGGTTTGGTAAAATTTGCTTGTAATTTGTACTCCTCAACTATTTGAAAGAATGAGAGCATGTAATACAATGGCCATGATCACAACCATAAAATACCTGAATCTTTTGTTTTAGAAACATGCGTACATACCGGTACCTAAGAATCAGGTTACCAAGTTGATTTGTATCATACTCAGTGGGCAGACTATAGGGGAAATATTTAGGGGAATTGTGCCTTGATGATACAAGTATAGCATTTGGCACACAGTTGGGGTATAATTGAGAAAGATATTTGGCTATAGGGCAGACTTGTCCTTTTGAAAATACATTAGACAAGTAATTTTCAAAATGTTCAAAATGGCTGCCATTGCTTGTTATTCTACTAATATTTTTCATGACGTACTCTGACTGTGTGCCAATGATCATCAAAGGCACAATCCCATCACCTACTGGGGTATCTGCTGACTAATCATGTTTTGGAGTTGGACATGTTGGTTACTGTGATTTCATCGGTCTAGAACAGCCAAGTTTCCAGTTTAAAAAAAATACTGTATTTATAAGTAAACACAGCCTTGAATATTACCTCTTGTAGTTGTACACCATGCACATTGGATATAAATAATTCAATATATAAACCGCATTGCAATGATGACCTTGTACAGGTACACATGTAAAGGCAGTTTGAATGATTTTCTACATTTGTCTATCTGCTGGTTGGGATAATAAAGTCTTCATGTACAAAATTATGCTTCATCTAATCATGGAGAAAGTGTTTATAGCTCCATGATCTAATAACCTTCAGCCTAGGTACACTACAGTACTGGTACATATTTCATAAGCTGTACATGTACTATGTACATGTCTACTGTACATTTTACAGACGTAACCTGTAGTCCCCATATGTTTGCTTGATTGTTTAGAGCTTAATTGATTCTTTATGTGTATTTCTGTCTTGTAATTATTTAAACATGAGTAAAAAATACCGTTACTATCTTTGAATAAACATACCCAAAAAACTAGTACATGTACAAACGTATGTAGTGCCTCTTTTACTTACCGCGGTACAAGATTTGACCATCACTATGCCACAGGATGTGCTCCTATATAGTCTAAGGTACACGTAGCACCAGTAGCAGCAGCAAACCACACTAGTTGTTTATGGCATCCCTGGATCAGTTAAAAATGTCACAAATGTCAGGGCAGACCCGTACCCAGTGCACATCACACATGTCCAAACTGACTCCGATCAACGATGGGAATGACACTTGTGCCGGAGAATGAAAGCACACGGAATGTCCATCCCGGACGGTCAAACAAAATACATGTACATCCCTTTGTGATGTAAAGCGAGTGAAGCCACTGAGTGTCAGAATGGGGCAGCATCACTTACATGTACATGTACATGTACAGTGCATATAAAATGTACATGTATGTATACTGTACTGTACATGTACCGGTATACGTGTCTAGCTCCATGCTGTTCAGTTGGAGACCTCGGCATTGACACAGTAAGGGCTGATCACTTATTGGGCTGCCCTGGACATCTACCCTGGCTGGGGATGTGTATATTTTCAAGGTCTGTACAAATTAAAGGTCCAGTGACAGGACCTTCCTATGTACTGTATTGGTAAGTATACAATGTACATAATGTTATTGTTGCACATGCAAATATAGCAAAACCAAATATAGCACCCCAATAAAAAATAGCATCCTTCAATGACTAACAAAAAAAATCTCAACCAGTTAGACAGTCACTATAAAACCTGACCCTGGATATGCCTAATTATAGCCCCCCCCCCCCCAGCTTCCCCAATATAAAAAAAGAAGTAAACAACAACCCCCCCCCCAAAAAAAAAAAAAGTAAATGAAAGACTAATTCTGACCTCATTTTCTCCAGAGAATTTCCAAATACTCATTTGTACATAGTATTTTTTAGAGGTGTCACTTTTTACAGACAAGAAGTACCAGCTCAGCATTGTGCATGCATAGGCCTACATGTGTACTTTTGACCTTGTTTTTACTGATCACAACTTCCAGATGTATTACAAGGCATGAAAGTAAAATTTACGACATTACATTTGAAACCGAATCGGAGTGGGTCACATTCGACAACAGATGTTTCCGAGAAATGAAACACCACCAAGACAACATTCTGAAAGGGGTATTTGACCTGATAAACCCACAGTGCTGGAGTGCTGTGGCCTCGTGGTTAAGGGCACTGGATTTGTGGTGTGCGGGTAAAGCTGCAGGTCGGGGGTTCGAGTCCAGCCTGGGGGTCATGGCGCGTGTGCCCTTGGGCAAGGCACTTTGTCACTCATTGCTTCTCTCCACCCAGGAGTAAATGGGTACCTGTGAGGGCAGAGATGGTTAGTGTGGTTGATTTAGCTGCTTTGCTCCGAAAATGGCAGCATGGAGCTGTATACTCCCCAGGGAGCTGAGATGGTGTTAGGAATGTTTCATAGGCTCAATGAGCAGGGGTAATAATGATGTAGCGCCTTGGGCACCATTCCTGGTGGATATATACGCTTTATAAACGCTCACTATTATTAATATAAACATGTAGTGGCTCATGAACCCATAGCGGCTCATAGGACCATTATAACAACAGGCCAAAGTATGAAGAAAGAAATTACTAGATGAAACAACTTTGAAACATTTACACAAGATTCACACGTTGCTACTACATGTACAGGGTGGCCCTAAGCACCGTCGATATATCGATATTACTCGATTATTCGACATTATTTTATATCGATATTGCCGATAGCAATTTTTTAATATCAAAATATTGAAATTTTCTATATTGAGGAATGATATCGTAAATATCGAAAATGCGTCAGATTATCATCAAAATAAATCTCCCGTTTGTGCTTTCACTTTGTGTTTAACGCTTGCTGTATAATAAAATAAAATTCTGCGGCAACTTGTGCCTCAAAATCAAAATAAAAACATTGTGGAATGCCAAGCGACTGCGGTGTGGTCGGGTGATCCACAGAATTTGAAGTTTTGTGATATCACTTCGAAAACATCCATCACAATGTCACACCATGCAAGCTGAATTCATAAGATGACCCAAACTATTCATATCATGAATGTTATTAAGAACATACATGTACGCAAAATGTATACTTACAGCTGACTATAGCTTGCTTGTAACATCAGCTGGTGCACTGTTATCTTGAAAAGCTTGTTGGCGCTTGGCACACAAATACATGTACAGTGTACATTGTCAGTGATACTGTGTAGCTGATTTACAGTTGACAAACTATTTCTAGCCGCTTGATTGGCTTGTGCAGGTTGAACGCAAAACACATGGACAAAAGAACCCCTACGGGGAAGCATGGATCTATTCCAGGCATTGGATATTGTGTATGCTGCATTCAAACTACATTGTATTTGTCAAGGCTGAAGAATGGGCAGGATGCATGCACACAGAACCAGTAATTTATTGATTTTATGGGGAAGAATAATTCACAAACAGAGTGTGTGTACTGTACACGTAACCCTATCACACAGACCATCATAAAGAGCCTAGATAGATCCATAACAGATCCGAAAAAGTCAGGTTGGCGTAGCGGTACTTTCCTCGCCTTCCACCGCTGTGACCTGGGTTCGAATCTCGCCTGGGCCAACATGTGGTTTGGGTTTACAGTCCGTACCTGATTCCGTGGGTTTTCCCCAGAATATTCTTTTGGAATTTTCCTCCCACCTCTAAAACTGTAATTTCTTCTCATTGTCTTTAATTCTCTCCACAGGTTTCTTCAGGCTTGCGAGCTACAGTGCCTAGGGTGCTTTTGAGGAATCCTTGGTTTCATTACCAGAAATGATTAATAATAATAATGATAAAAAAAATCCTTTCTGGACCTGGGTCCAATACCAAGATTTAAGATTATGGGAACCCCTTTCACTCTAGCAAGAATCCAACAAGGCTTCTACTATATACACAGGCCCTGCTCTCTACAGGGGTAAAATTCAACCCTGATTGGGACCATGGTTATGAGTAAACTTTACCCAGGTAAAAAATGCCAAACCTACAACCGACCTGTGCCATAACGGTGTATCAATTTTTGTGAACGGTATGCCTTGACTACCCTTGTTTGATTGGACCAGCTAGACTTCACTTACATTACGTTGGAACGCCTTTTGGATTTCAACACGGGTCCACCGGCAAGACAATACATGTAGTGTGAAAAGGCCTACATGTACATGTACGGTAGTACATGTATGGGGCTAGGTACGGTACAGTGTACATGTACATGTACATGTAGTGCTCCACCCAGTTGGCCTACATGTACATGTAGTTTTACATGTTAAGCCTTCATTAACCCTCCTGCTATTTAAACAGTCACAGACAGTCGAAATTTCCATCAACTTTCCCTGCTTTACCGGTACTTTTAACACAGGCTAGTCACCAGCAGTCAAATCATATGTCAAGCCATGGGTGTCGCAAGGCCCCCCCGGAAAAAAAAAAAAGGAAAAAGAGGTGCGAAGCCATATTGCTGGGGGAGGGCAAATGCTCCCCTGCTCACGCTAGGAAAAATGATAAATTGAGAATATAATGAAAAAGTTGAGGAATCTTGGGGAAAAATTTGCTTGGCCTCCCCCCCCCCCGGAAACTATCCTGGCGACGCCCATGCAAGCAAGCACTGTGACTAGTCAAACTCAGTCTGTGTAAATGGTCCGTAGTCTACAGACCATGAACATACAAAGCAGGCAAGTTGTGTGGGCACGTACAGCTGGCTCATCAATTATCAAGTTGTACATTTTGTATGCTTAATTATTACTGTTTGCTTCCTTGATATGTATGCAGTGCATAACAGCCAACCAATGAGCAAACTATATATGTACTACATGTACATGTATGTGATTGTTACAAAACATCTAAAAATTAAAATCATTGGGAACAGTACTTCATGGTGAAAGGAAACAGCGTGGATACAATTGAAAATACATAAAGTGAAAAATAAGATTAAATTCACCTTGAAAATAATTTTAAAAAAAGAAGGGAGTTTCATCGTTTTCATTTTAAGAGGCAATGTACATACATACGTAAAATTTTACCTCCCAAACACCGACTCATTACAGTAATTACTCATCTCATGCCCCTTTAAATTAAATGTGTCTTTCAGCTTGATATTCTAAGGAAGTTATATCCCCCTCGCAGATGGTACACCTATCATTCACAGGTGCATCATCTGCATAGTGGGGGAAGTGACCTATCTAAATTACACTGTACAAATCAAAAATATACACTGCCCAAAGTAATTACTCTAACGGAATAGCCACACATCAGCAGGCTCATAACTGTGTACATCTACCCAGATTATCCACCCCCGGCCCCGTGATAAATGACAATGATTGTTGATACTGAGGCATGCACTGATGCGCCACAGTTATTACCACTTGTGCACTAATGTAATAAGCCTTGCGGTTTTATCATTAATTTGTGTGTTTTTTTATTGCATCAATTTAGAGCTGACGTGGGCAACTGTTCACTTATAGTCAATTGATACAATGTACATAAATTACATTTGGAATTGAAATACCCGTACACTGCGTAGGCTACGGGAACACATAAATGTTACTTTAAAACATCATTAGCATGATTAGGTACATATTAATTTAAATTTAGTGCGTGGAAATTGATTTCTGTACCTGGTATTGTTAACGTGCATTATGTACGCATGTTCATCAACCCTAACTCTGCTAGGATGCAACCTCAATCCTGCAAAATCGTCTGACTGCCTCAATGTAAAACTTGCATACACTATCAGCCTCAACCCTCCGATTTATTACAGGCATGCAACTGGGAAGTCACAAAAAAGAGGAAATTCACATCTTTCCAAGATTTTGTACAGCGTTTTTCTATTTTCAATGGCACACATGGGAAATGAAAAAAGAGGAAATCAGCTGATCCGAGGAAAAGTTGCATGCCTGTGACAAAGTCATCTGTTATTTCTTGATTGTGGTCCTTAGAGGGGTGACCACTGCCCCAATCCTGCAAAATCCTCCAGCAATGACTGTCAATGTGTTGAGGCAGACCACATTCTGGAGCAGTGCGGAGGATTTCAAGTATACATGTAATCTAGGCCTATGCACAGCTGAACATTATAAACAAGTAAAACAACACAAGTTCTGGCCTAAGACCTTGACACAGTGCATCCTCCAAAATCAGCCACACATTGTTGACATAGCCTAAATCCTGCAAAATACTCCACTTTGCAAAGATAATTTTGGAGGATTTGGGAAAGTTAAGGTTAAAAATATATTCGTTTAGCATTTTTCTTTGATGGTTAGGCAGTTAGACTTCTACCTTCTTTGAGTTCTACGGTAAATAGGGTTGGAGCAAGAAAGTG